TTCTGAGTTCGAGGCCAGCCTGGTTTACAGAGTGAGTTCCAGGACAGCCAGGGCTATACAGAGAAACCCTGTCTCAAAAAACCAAAAAAAAAAAAAAAAGAAAAAGAAAGAAACGGGTAAAGGATGCCGAGTATCCATCAAGGTCCAATATTTAGGGTAAAAAGATTCACTTTCGCTCAGCCCCACTCTGTCAAGGGTTTTATGCGATGTCTCTCACTTAGTCCTTGTAGTTAGCCAAAGAGAGTAAAACGGGAACATTGTTATTCCCATTTTACTGAAGACAAACCTGTGTCACAGCAGCGACTTAACATTAAAAGTCACACAAGAGCGGGGCAAGGTAGCACACCTTTAATTCTAGTACTCAGGAGGCAGGGGCAGGTGGACCTCTGTGAGTTTGAGGCAAGCCTGGTCTACATAGCTATACTGAGTTCCAGGGCTACATTGTAAGGCCCTGTCCCAAGAGGGGAAAGGTCATAAAAGAATAAGCAACAGGGACTGGAGAGAGGCTTAGCAATTAAGAACTCTGTCTACAGAGAACCTGGGTTGCGTTCAAATCCCAGGACCTACATGTCGGCTCACTATTGCCTATAACTTTATTTCTGGGGGATCTGACACCTTCTTCTGGCCTTGGGGGTACTAGGCACACACGCAGTGCACAGACATAGATGCAGGCAAAATATCCATACACATAAAATAATAAATAAAATGAAACAAAACCAATAAGCAAGAGTGCTTGCTGTCTTTCCAGCGCTGGTCTGTCTGTCCCAAGGCCATCTTCTTCCATGTCACATGGGCGCCAGTGAGACAGTCATGGGTCGGTATGACCTTTAGGATAAATCTCTTCATTTATCTTCTGTCTTAGCACACAGTAGGAACGTCACCTGCAATTACAGGTACACAGGTGTGATTGTGTCACACGTGCCTTACAAAACTCTGGCTGATTTCAGGAGCGGAAAAAATGGACCTCCTTGTTTTATTTATTTGAGTTTTCATATCATTTAAAAAAATAGTTTGTTTTTATCTCATGCGCATTGGTTTGTTGCCTGCCTGTATGTCTATATGAGGGTATTAGTTACAGACAGTTTCAAGCTCCCATGTGGGTGCTGGGAGTCGAACCTGGGCCCTCTGGAAGAACAGCCAGTGCTCTTAACCATTGAGCCCTCCCTCTAGACCCCAAGTTTCCATATCATCTATATTGAAAGTTTCCATATCAACTCTAGTCTCTGCTCAGTAACTGAGTACTTTATAAAGGCAAGTCAAATATTATCATCCCTTTGTTCAAAATCTCTGGTTAAAAAAAAAAAAAGCAAGACCTTTATAGAATAGTGAGTATTCTGTGGTTGTTACATTTTTACCTTTTTTCTTTCTTTCTTTCTTTTTTTTCTTCCAGTGCTGGGGATTGAACCCAGGGCCTTGTGCATGCTGGGAAAGCCCTCTGCTGCTGACCTACATCTGTTATTGACCTGTTACTCTCTGGATGAAAGTTCCCAACACTCACCCTTCCCTTCACACAGTTAGGAAACATTGATTCTCTTGCTCTTATTTGAATCTTCCGAGCACACTCCTGCCACAGGACCTTCACACATGCTCTTCATTCTGCCTGAAGAGCGTTTCCCATACACATGTACAGAGCTAACTCCTTAGCCTCCCATACCTGTCTTACAGAGTACAGCACGCGTTACTTTCCCCATGGCTCTGACAAAGCTCCCTCGTATACACTGACTAACCTTCATGCATGTTCCCCAATTAACATGGAGAGAAAAGCTATGCAGGAAATTAGAGGACATCAGCGGGAAGTGTGTGGTGATTCAGTCCACCTACAAATTCAGTTCTGTGGCTGACAATAAGTCCGTTCAAAGCTGAGCTTGCCAGAGTCTATTTTATTTATTCTACCCTTTCCTCGGATTTTAAATGAGAAGACTGTCTAACTGTTTAACAAGGCATTTTGAGTTTTTACAATTTCAAAGTCTCGTGAGCCAAATCTTAAGCCCAGCTTTTTTTTGTTTTGTTTAAAACTAAGCTTTTATTTAAAATGATGCTATGTTCCTGGGTTGGGGGGGGATGGGGAAAGGGGATTACATCTGAAATGTAAATAAAATATCCAATAAAAAAAAGAAAGAAAAAGAAGAAAAAAGGAAAAAAAGGATGCTATGTGAAAAATATAGAAATTTGATGATTATGTGACTTTTACTTTTTGTTCCTTGAAAGCAGAGACTTTGCTTAGTCTGTCTGTCTCTCTCTCTCTCTCTCTCTCTCTCTCTCTCTCTCTTTCTTTCTTTCTTTCTTTTTTTTTTTGGTTTTTTGAGACAGGGTTTCTCTGTATAGCCCTGGCTGTCCTGGAACTCACTCTGTAGACCAGGCTGGCCTCGAACTCAGAAATCCGCCTATGTCTGCCTCCCAAGTGCTGGGATTAAAGGCGTGTGTCACCACCGCCCGGCTTCTCTCTTTCTTTTTTTCTTTTTTTCCAAGACAAGGGTCTTTGTGTCGCCTGGGCTGTTCTGGAACTCAGAAATCTGCCTGCCTCTGCTTCTGGAGTTCTGGGATTAAAGGTGTGCACCACCTGGCAAAGCCATACTTTCTTATCTTCAGGGCTGCACAGTAAAACCTTGGGCCCCATTTATAAAGGTGTTGTACCCGGGATTACCCCTCATCCTAATTATGATTTTTTTTTAAACAAGTGATTCTTATGAGGCCAGTGAGATGGGCCAGCCAGTAGAAGGGGCTTGTGGTTCAAGCTTGGCCACCCAAGTTCAGGACCCAGGGCCCAGGTAAAGGTGTAAGGAGAACGGACAGCATGAAGCTGTCCTTTCTTCCCCAGGCGTGACACGGCAGGGGCGCCTGCTCACAAACAATAATTTCTAAAAACTAAAAGGCAGCAACCCCAAGTGATTCTAATGGAATGCTGACATCCATAAAATGTAATGTAGCCTCTTCCCCTTAAAATTAACATGAAAAATCTCTGTTTCTGTTTTTAGACAGCCACTGTGTATATTCTAGGTGACACATGGAACTTGCTATGTAGACCAGGCTGGCCTCAAACTCAAAGATCTGCTTGCCTCTGCCTCTTGAATCCTGGATGCACAAGTGGCAATATACTAGGCTCAAAACATCATTTTTTTTTTTTCTGGTGTGGTGGATTCTAAAGAATTTTAAGCATATTTTTCCTCAAAGCAGTCATAGATGGAGTGATTTATTATATACTGAGTAGGAGATTCCACTCTTTCTTTTTATAATATAACATGTTTGTTAAATCATTTAACCCAGCCGGGGGGTGGTGGCGGCTCATGCCTTTCATCCCAGCACTTGGATGACAATTTGAATGTTGTCACAGTAAGAATGAAAGAAGACAAATCTTGCATCTAGTAATTGTCATTTGAGGCTGGGAAGAAGTCTTTAACGTAAGGGCTTTAAAATAGGCCGTGACTCTAAGGCCCCTCTGGGGGTGAGTTCCCTGGAGTGAAAGACTAGTTTGCAAGCTGGAATAAGCCTTGTGAATAAGCCTGCAGAAAGACAGATTAGCCAACCTCCTTTCTGCCCGAGGGTGGAAGAGATGACACAGGAGCCATTTCTTTTCCTGGTCCCAGTCTTCTCTCTGGTCTAGCTTTCCTGGTTCTCAAGTGATGATTACTCACTCAGTTTTGATCCTAGAAAGGGTTACTCAAAAACCCGAGGCGCCACAGCAGCAGCGGTCTCTGCCTGAGGGCGACTGCAACCTTTCTGTTTTAGTCCCAACACTGGGGGAGTAGGGGGAGAAAAGAGTTTATTTAGCCCTAAGCAGTGACGACTTTCTCTTAAAAAAAAAAAAAACTTAAAAAAAAAAGACCCCTCTGCTACAGCCTGCACACCACAGAAGCCTTAAATCTTCAAAACCTCTTTCCCATCCAAGTCTCTTGCAAAGAAGTTAGTAGGATTTAAGTCAACTCCACCACATCCAGGTGAAAACGACCCCCAGGTGACCCTAAGCAAAGAAAATGTCGCATTTTAAAAATGTAGCTGATTGCAAGTTTTTTTTTCCCCCCTCCAAAGGGAACCTTGTTTTTTGGTGTGTGGGTGAACAGGGTGGTCTAATCTACTCCGACCCCCATGAGGTGACCGTGTGAGGCTACTTGTGGAAGGCGACATTTACAAAGTGCATTACATTAAAAGTACTGGATGGTTCGGTGATTATGAGATTTGTCCCCCCAAAATCTCAACTGCTTTAGCCATCCGCCTTCGCCACAGGGAGGCGGGAAAGCTTTACCACCGATGTTCAAAAGAGCCAGAAAAGATGTTTTCTTTCAAATAAGCACAACCCAGTCGCTCTTACCCCACCCACCTCTGCTAATTTATAACGGTCAGGGAGGGGCCAGCCGCACGCTATGGCTCGTCCCCCTCGACGGAGGCCATTTCCATTAAGGCCGAGCCGGAAGGAGAGAGTGGCTAAAAGTTCTCCATTATATTCCCGCCCTCTCCAAAACTTCAACTCCAGTCGCGGAGAGTCACTGAGGAATTTGCAATTTCCGGGAGGATGGTGGGGATCACGCCGGAGCACCGTCCCAGCAGGGGCGGCGCTCGAACCCCACTTCCCCGGACCGTCCACCTCCGCTAGGCCGGAGGGGCGTGGCTGGGGATGAGGGCGGGGCCCCACCTGCGCGCGCGGAGCTGGGCGGGACTCAGTCGCGGAGGCCGGTGGGGGCGGAACCTGGGCGGGGTTTTGCCTGTCGGGGGCGTGGCCTTTGCTGGGGCCGTGACTGGCTGGGGGCGGGGTCTTGGCCGGGCGGAGCCTGGCCTGAGGTGGGTGGGGCCTTGTCCGGCCGGGGGCTGGGCTCAGGGGGGCGGGGTCGTGGCGCTCCAGAGCGGGGAGGCGCCTGGAGAGGGCGGCGGAGCCTGCGGGAGGGGACCAGACGGCGGCTTGAGCGGCGGCCGCAGCTGCAGCAGGACGGCCGGCCGGCGGCTCGGGGCCGCGCGCCGGGAACCTCACGGGGCGGGCGGGCGCCGCACCCCGGCCTGGCCGCCTGCGCCCCGGGGAGGCCCCCTGCGCGCAACCGGACCAGCAGCATGAGCAGCGGCTACAGCAGCCTCGAGGAGGACGCGGAGGACTTTTTCTTCACCGCCAGGACCTCCTTCTTCAGGAGAGCGCCTCCGGGCAAGTCCCGTTCGGGTCAGCCGGTGAGTGGCGTGCTCGGGGTCTTGGCTCCACGTGTCTGCGCCCTCTCTGGCCGATGCTCGCCTGCGGGCCGCGGGGCGCCGAGAGTGGCCTTTGCCCTTTCGGCTCCTGAAAGGTGCTGGGAGCCTGTGCAGTGGGCGTGGGCCGCCCGAGGCGAGGGAAGGAGGTGGAAGGGCGCGGAGCCAGATGGCCTGGGCCGCTCTGCTTGGGGACGCCGGCTGCTGGAGCAGCTCCGGGAGCCGGGAGGTCCCGGGGCCACTCGGGATGGCTCCTCCGGTAGCCCTTTGGGGTGACGGTCGTGTTACCCCGCCGTCCTAGCTGCAGTTTGCTTCTAGCTGCAGTTTGCTCGATGGCCCTGAGTGACTTGAGGGCACGCAGTGGCCCGGAGTGACCGAGCAACCCCCGTGTGGGCAAGCTGCGGGGTGAAGGGACCGGGCGATCGTAGGTGCTCACTAAAGTCTGGGTCCCATCAGGTCTAGTTTGCGGGTGCTGCAGACGTTCTAGGTAGACTTAGCTCCAGAGGGCTGCCCTTTACGCCGGTTTCTTCCTTTTTTGGAGGAAGGGTGCCGTGGGAAGCGTGGCTTGGGAAAAAACAGTACGGGAAGTTGTGCCAGTTTCACAGATCGTGACAGGGATTATTTTTTTTTAGGGGCGTCTTCCAAACGGGGCACTTTGGCCGGACTTGTAAGGTGGGCGCTTAAACGGTGGCCTTCTGGCTCTGGAAGCCGCACCAGGGAGCCTGGCCAGCTCGGCCACGTTCTCGTTCAGATACAGGAGCTTTAACGGAACAAACTTGTTGCTCCTAAAAACACTACAGACTCACACCAGAGGTTTCTGTCAACTGTAGAGATGAAAAACAAGACAAACTAATCGTTCAGGGGTCCAGTGATGGGGATTTTGGTGGAGAGGAACCTCTGCCCAGATTGCCCTTGCCAACTCTTTTAAGTTTCACAGGCCGTTTTCTAAAGTAAAGCTTCTTTATCAGATTTGGAAGTTCTAGGCTTTTTGGTCTATTAAATTTCCAAACTAAAAGGAGGAGGAGAAGGAGGGTGAAAGGCTAGGATGAACTCAATATCGCTAACAACAGCTAGTCCCCTCGTGGAGGGTTGAGGGTGGGTGCTTTTATCCTCAGACTTAAGGTTGCTCTGTTTACGAGGATGACCTTTTATTTTCAGTAGAATGTGCTAATGGATGAATTTGGAAGTCAGAGATCCCTCTCCAACCCCCCCACTCCTGTGGGTCAGGGAAGAAACGGCTTTTCCCCCCCTTCCTCATCCAGTTTTTCCCTCATTGTGGGTCCTTCACCACTTTATTCTCCTCCCGTTCACCTTGGAAAGAGCTTGAACCAGTTTGACGTGTATTCCAGAGGCGTCTAGTCATTTCCAGAAAACCAGCGGGTTCTTGAATTCTACAGGTGTGAGAGTCTCCTCCACAGGGGCCAGCCAGAATGTCATGGTTGGAGTTAAGTCCCTGCTTTTAAAACGTTGAAGCAGTAGCTGGGGATGTAGATAGCTTGCCTAGTACTTATACTTACTGCATAATACGGGGGTTGTTGTTCACAGTAGTGTGTGTGTGTGTGTGTGTGTGTGTGTGTGTGTGTCTGTCTGTCTGTCTGTCTGTCTGTAGGCAGGAAGATCAGCAATTCAAGGCCATCATCCGGAACCCAGACACACACACACACACTTTACAGCAGCATTTCTTTGAAGTTAATGTATATTTAGAGAGTCCGGATTATACGAGTCCACTTTGGTAATCGTCATCTAATTGTGTGTATGTGCGTGTCTGTCTGTATATCGTGTAGTCCTGCCCACTGAGCACTGACATGAGCATGTATGACGACGTGTTGAAAATCGGGGCAGTAAGAGCCACTTCCTGGGTCGAGCCATTCCCTGTGTCTATTTGAAGCTCAGTGGTCTGTTTATTCCTTCTAGCATAGCGTTAAGTCGTAGGAGTGTGTTAAAGAAACGGGTCTTGGTGAAAACTCTGAGGCCTGAGTTTGTTTGTTTGTTTTATTTTTGAGAGAGGGTCTATCTATATAGCCTAGCCGGCCCTGGAGCTCATCACGTGATCCAGGCTGGTCTCGAATTCATAGAGATCCACCTGTCTTTGCCTCCTCTGGTCGTGCAGCTACGCCTGTCTGAACCGTGAATTTCAGCAAGCATCTTGTGTTTTATTTAAAGAAGTGACTGTATCTTAAGTTCCTGATTACATATTTGTGGACGAGGAAGTAACGCCCGTATGCACCCTGGTAGAGCCTGGTCTTTTGGGTCGGATCAGATGACACTTCTTCTTCACTTTGATGTGAAGTATGGGGGCAGAAGAAACACTTTTTCCACAGTGCATTCACCTGTTCCCTAAGAGGTGGGTTGAGCCACCGCCATAGGCTCTATTCTTGATAGCAGCGATTCCCCGCCCCCACCCCCTTATGCTCTACCACCTGCTGGGAAAAGCTAGGAAGTATGGTTTCTGGAACTGTTGTGAATATTTGAAGAAAGCAAGAGGGCTCTGCTGAATACAAGCTGAGGAGAGGGCGCGTGTCAGAGAGTCAGGGGTAGACATTTTCTTTCTTCTCTTGCCAGGAGAGGAAACATTATCCAACTTCTTCCCATCTCCATGTTAGTCTTAAAAAAATAAAGGCCTTTAGGAGATGTTAATGCTGCACTCCCTCCTCCTCCCTCCCCCTACCCCAGCCAACGGCTTCACCGTGCAGTTGCTTAGTGAATACTGGCCAGATGAGTGGTCACTTTCCTGGCCTGAAGATACCTGGCTCTTCACCACTCTCAAAAGGATCCTATCTCATGGTTCTCCCGAGAACCCTCTGGACCGTTGATCTCAATGTTTTCTTAGGAGTCTGACTCTGTCCTGCTGCACAGGATGCCATGACAATGCTCAACTCCTTCAGAGCGTCCGCCTGTTCTTAGTTTTAAGCAGAACCAGAAAATATTCTGTAGTTACTAAAATCAAACTGCCCGAAACTATAAGACACACAGCCTAAAGCTATGAATACAATCTGCCGAACTTATATGTGGCCCTTTTTTTTTTTCCTTTGAGACAGTCTCATATAGCCCAGACTGTCCTCCTGTCTCCCCCTAAATTCAGGGAGTCATGCCCAGTTTTCTGGGGTCCTGGGGATTGGTGCTCACGAGACAAGCACTCTACTGCTTGAGTTCCGCACAGCCCCTGTCTTCCCTTCCAGCTGAGGGGATGACCTTTCTTCTAAAGCCCTTGGTAGCTAAGAGAATAAGAGACACTGTTGCTGCTTTAGAAGAGCACTAGCCCCCACATCTCCAGAGACATGAAAAACCTAACCGGACCCTCCACACTAACTTTAAAAAGGTGTACTGAAGAATTTAAGTAAGCTGACATAAGTCCACATAAGCCTTCAGTTTGCCTTTTGCATTGACTCCTTCTGACTATCTGGTGTGCTTTATCAGACAGCTCAAGAGAAATGTGTTGTACTCTCAAAATTCTTTTATTATTGTTTTAGAGATTTATTTATTTATTTATTTTATGTATATGAGTACACTGTAGTTGTCTTCAGACACACTAGATCCCATTACAGATGGTTGTGAGCCACCATGTGGTTGCTGGGAATTGAACTTAGGACCTATGGAAGAGCAGTCAGAGCTCTTAACCACTGAGCCATCTCTCCAGCTCCTGTGTTCCTTTTTTTAGTGTTTCTTCTGGAAGTTTTAGAGGTAGTTCACTTGGGCAAAAGTGGCTCACAATATCAGCAGTATTTTAAATATACCAATTTTAATCCTATATAACTGAATATAAGTATTTCTGGCAGCAGCACATTTTTTTTATTATTTAATTTTATGCATATGGTGTTTTGTTTGCAAGAGTCTGTATACTACATATGTGCCTGGTGCCTGCAGAGGCCAAAAGAAGTCGTCAGAGCCCCTGGAACTGGAGTTAGAGGTAGTTGTGAACCACCATGTAGGTGTTGGGAATTGAACCCGGGTCCTCTGGAAGAGCAGCTGGTGCTCTTAACAGCTGAGGCAGCTCCCACCAGCATTTTTGTGGCAGTGCACATCTTGCCGACATGACTGTTCTTACAGTCTTAATCCATTGGGCATTTGTGATTGTGTCAGCAAGACACACAAAGGCATAGTTCTCTAACTGAATTTCAAAGGGAAATCGGTCCAGAGCCTCCTGTGACCTCGAAAGAGCAGTATGCCCGGCTCTGTTTCCTCTTTTGGCAAACATGCAAGATTTACAATTATTTGGGAGCAGTGACAAAAAAAAAATTTATATAAAAAAAAAAGACTAAAAATATCCAATAATGTGGTTCTTCTTTTTAGCCTTCCTTTGGCAACCAGTGCCTGTCATACTGTGACCATTATTTGTCTAGTCACACGCGAGGTTGAGCCCATTCTTCTTTGTGGAGTCTGATCCCCAGTTCTTTTTTTGTTTTGTTTTGTTTTTTCAAGACAGGGTTTCTCTGTATAGCCCTGGCTTTCCTGGAACTCACTCTGTAGACCAGGCTGGCCTCGAACTCAGAAATCCGCCTGTCTCTGCCTCCCAAATGCTGGGATTAAAGACGTGCGCCACCACTGCCCGTCTGATCTCCAATTCTTAGCCCTGAATGTCAGCCACTTGCTTTCTCCTTCCTCCCTGGCATAAGTAACTGCCATTTCAAAAGGCCACACTTGGAGGCTTGAAGGCCATTAGCCATCCTTGAGCCTCTTTTCAGAAACCGTATCGGGAAAACTAGTGTAGTGTGTATGTGTAGGTACCTCTTGTATGAGGTATGTGGTGTGACAAGCATAGCTTAGCTCTCTGCAAAGTTATATACATCCTTCTTAAAATTGTGGGGTCCTTCCGTTGAATTTGTGTAGAGAAAAGTCGGACTACAGTGATAAGTTTCTGAACTAAAAACAAGTTCACAGTCAAACACACAATGAATTTCCGTGCCTGGCACTGCTCTGTGTGTTGGTTGTGACAGACTTCACTACACCCTGGTTCTGTGCACACACCCTGGGCAGTTTGCACAGTG